TCAACGTGGTTTTTATAGAAACAACTCTATTTTTTCCCGTGAGTCTACTTTCAGGTGGCACTATATGTAATGAAAATACACAAAATAATAACATGTCCAACTTGTCTAAACAGCTTTGGGGAAAAAAAACACTGACCAAGATAAGCACACAACTCTCCTGGTAGGAGGAAAAGTAGAAACTGATTCAGCCAGGCACAATGACTCAGTGTCCTGTGGGAATCAGTGAACACATTCCACTGAGGAACGGCGAACATCGGTGAAGTCAGCAGGTCTGTTTAAGAGAATTCTCTAAGAGCATCCATGGAAGGGAATGAGAGTACCTGGGAAGAGTGTGTAGACTATGATGGAAAGGGTTAAGGACAGAATCACAAGGAACACCAACATATAACAGATGTGTCAAGAGGAGGAGCTGAGAAAGTAGACTAAGGAAACAAGATCTGAAGATATTGGAGACTTTCCAGAAATTTTTTGTTAAATAAAAGAGTATCTTCATATCCTAACACAGTTAAATTCACAAATTATTTTTCATTTATTTCTTAGCTTGACTGCTTTCTGCTGACATGTAGAGGGGTGTGCTTCTCAGGGAGCCTGGTGTTATGGGATGAGCACAGAATCATAAATTAAAGAGCCCTGGCTGTAAATTCTGCCTCTGATTCTGATGTGTCCCAATGACTCTGTGTCTCTGAGCCTCATTTATTTTAACTGTAAATATTAATAATTATAATTCAGAGAGTGGCCACGAGGATCATGTAAGGTGTCTTGTGCAAAACTTACTCTTCATAACTGCTCAATAAGTGTGCATTTCCTTCTTTCCTCTTCAGTATATTATCTCTAGGATCCATTGAGCAGTGTTGAATATTGAGAAGGAATTCCAAGCCGTCCTTTCATGACATGTGTGAATTGCTGGCTCTAGTTTGCTTTATTCTTAATCTGGGCCACTTCCTGACAATTGCTCTACAACTGAGGGAAAATGTTCTGCTTCATAGCCCAGAACATATGCTTTGTGATTTCCTGATTGATTTGATTGATTTTATTTCATACTACTTTGGTCATATTTCTCAATTTAGGTATTCTGCCATGCCATGCCATTTCAATAGAGGCCCTGTAGACTTGTGCAATCTAACAGGCCTAGGTAAGACCCAATTGTCTTCAGCAGGACATCCTCCTGTTGGCGGGGGTTGGGGGGGGGATCATAGAACCAAGTCAGGTGTTCACAAAAATATCTGCTATAGAAACAGCACTTCCTCCAAAGGTGTTATGGAAGAATCATCCTCTGGTTAATATTGTATGCCATGAGAATGGGTTAAAATATGAAGGCAAACTATTAATAAATAGATAAAGCTAATATAATCCTTTATGTGATCTAACTGCTAATTTTAGGCACCAAATATACAAAAATTGCTAAAGGAGGATATAAAATGACAATTTTCTTTCTCTCTCTCTAATTTATCATCGTAAATCTAGGAATTTAAAAACATAAATTTCAAGGTGGTCTTGAACTTACATTTCCCAAAGACGGAACCCAACATGGTTCCAGAGACCCATCTTCTCATGATTTGCTCACGGTGATTCATTGGTCCACCCAGCTGGTCTGCAGGATGCAAACCGTCACATCAGACCAACTTTAAGGACAACAGTGTGGCAAAATGCAGCTATAGTCAGCATTGGAAATGCAGATTATCCACGTGAAAAATTCAGGGGGTTAGTTACCAAAATGTACCAGTGTAGAGTTTCTATATCCAGTTGTTATTGTTCTTAAAGGAAAATTGGTGGAGACTGTGTGATGGTTATTATTATCATGACAGATTCTGAGATTCATCAGATTTCAACCTGGTTAATATCTCCAAGTAGACAATTCAAATTCAGAGGCTTACTTCTGAAGTAATGAATGGGGATATTAAGCTCCACGCCCCCCAGCCACCCTCCTAAAAGCAAGTAGGAGCGGGGAAATGATGGCAGCTATTTTTGTCCAAATTTATAGTCTTGCACAGGCTGACTTTATTTCTCCTTGATAGAAAATAATATTTTCTGTGTAATACATTTCTTCTCTCATGTGTATTGATTAAAATCTTTGACCTGAGGATGGTCTGACTGACCCAACAAGGACTTATCTCAATGACCATCATTTCTATGGGGTGGGTCATCTTAGGTTCTCCATGCTGAATGATTGCATAAAATAAACACATAAAATTCTTTGACAAAAATTCAGCTCCGTTTTCCCCTGTTGTACTGAACCTGGGAAGCCGTCTGATAAGGAAGACACAACACTATCCTTAGGGTAGAGAAAAGAATTGGAGTAATCACTGTAGATGCCCAGCTTTCAAGTAAGATCGAAAAATTTGCTAATTTTATGATAAGATGCAGACCCTATGCTAAGCACTCTGTATAATTACCCAATGACAATAAAGTAAGAAGTGAAGGTCATTACTATCATACTCACCAGAGGAAGAACAAATTTAGTGAGGTTTACCTGCTTATCTAAGGTGACACACTTGGCTCATGAATCCAGGTGGACTAACTCGACAGTGGCTGCATTCTCGGGTATCAAGAAGCTGGACAGTGATTCCGGCTGGTATCGAGTGAGCAAAGCATCTACATATGTCACTATGTCTACATATATCACATATGAAACTACATGTCACTGTCTACATATGTCACACATGAAGCTACCTGTCACTGTCTACATATGTCACATCTGAAATTACATACATTACTATGTCTACGTGTGTCACATATGAAACCACATGTGTCACTACACACGTACATTCTTTGCTCCCTAAAGGCTTTCTCAGTGCTCATTTTAACCTGATTTTAATCTGCAAAATGTGTAGTACAAGTACAGGTTTCCTGCTCCGGGTGGACCCTAGAATAGATAACACAGCTCTCTCTTCAGATATTTCTTCTTTTCTTTGTGAAATATGAAAAAAAATCTTACACAGGACTGTAAAAAGAAGAATCATAAACAGACCATAATGTCTTTTACAGAAAGAGCATTTTGGTGCTAAACACTTGTCTCTGCTGTTTAATTTGGCTGTATCTATCTACCTATCATAAACACAAAGGGGGAGCAAGGGCAACATTAGGATAAGAGAAAATAAGCAATTGAACATGATCAATACCTTCTGTGTCATGACTTATGACAAAATAAGCACTTGTGAGGAATTTCATGTCACCAAAAGTGTGGTATAATTCTGAACCAGTATTAACATAAATTTTATAGTACACTACTTTATTTGCTGACATCACAGCTCATTGGTAAGGTATTTCAATACATTTTATAAAAAATCTATGACATCTTGGGGCTGGCCCCGTGGCCGAGTGGTTAAGTTCGCGCGCTCCACTGCAGGTGGCCCAGTGTTTCGTTGGTTCGAATCCTGGGCGCGGACATGGCACTGCTCATCAAACCACGCTGAGGCAGTATCCCACATGCCACAACTAAAAGGACCCACAATGAAGAATATACAACTATGTACCAAGTGGCTTTGGGGAGAAAAAGGAAAAAAATAAAATCTTTAAAACAAAAAAAGAAATCTATGACATCTTAACAAAGTATATCTCAGAAAATGAGGAGGAGGACATTATCAATGAAAACATATCATTATCAGGAAATGACTGTTTTAACACATTGTCACTAAGAGACTGTCATCTCTTTCTCTAATGGACATGGAGCTTTTTGCTGATAGTAAAAAGAAATGTAGCATGTTATTTGAAAAATAATATTTTAAATGTCATTTCAAAATTATTTTCAGATGTTTATAATATTTTTTATCAGTCAGTGAAATATTTTCAATATTGTCTTTTGAATTATCCTTATTTTAAAACTCCAAAAATAGATGTGTGTTTGCACGTGAGTGTGTGCATGCGTGTGTGCAAAATCTTATTACTACTGGTCTTTTTAGCTTGAGACAGCAAGACGATTAAACAATAGGAAAAATATGTGTATGAAAAAATTTTCTAATTGAAATTAAAATAATCTCATCTATCTCACTAGTGATTTCTTTTATGAGCACAGACTTTATGTTCTGTGGTTATTTCATCCAACTATGAGTATGAGACCAGACAGATTCAGTTCTTAACAACCACCTGGGGTTGGACACCGGTTTGGAACCTAGAAACATCATACACAGGGGTTTCCACCAGGTAGGTCTTTTGTTTTCACCAAATAATTCAACCGGAATGCTAAGCAAAGACAATTTTTTTAAAAGAATGACTTAATGGCCCTCTAGGTAAACTTCTAAACAAATGCACGCAGCAATTAAATGAAAAGCACAACAATTTCCAGGTATATGATGCTGCTGGGAATTTCATTTAGGAGCTGGAAGAAACCCTTCCTCAGGCTAGCTGGGTCAGCGTTCTTCCACTGTGTTGGCCTCTTGGTCGACTCCATATGCCGTTTACACAAAAGCTTTTTCTTGTACTTGAGCTTGCATTTACTTGGAACTGTCTCTTTTCTGCATCCTCCCCTGTGGATTCTGCTTCTCTTGTTTCTTTGCTCAGCTCCTGAAATCTCCTGGGAAGAATGTGTTTAGGGGGCGATACTGCATGTACCAAGTGGTTTTCTCTACTGAGGTTTCTCCAGCAGAAAATTCACCATTTTTTTTCCGATAGCATCCAAATTAAAGTCTGTGTACTTCTTGAAAGCCCGGTCCTCTGTATGGTGTCACTGACTGACGGCCTTTCTGCTTCAGATGTTATGGTTTATGGCAGAAAGTCATGAGTAGGGTCACCCCTGCCCTCCTTCTCTCAAAGGGAAAAAATAATCTTCAAAAAATCCCTTGCTTCTATGGTGCATTCACTTTTCTATACTCATGAACATCCTCTCATGGCAAAAGTGAGATAGGAGAGGGGCTGGCCCAGTGACGCAGCGGTTAAGTTTGCATGTTCTGCTTCAGCAGCCCAGGGTTTGGCAGTTTGGATCCCGGGTGTGGACATGGCACCACTTGTCAAGCCATGCTGTGGTAGGCATCCCACATATAAAGTAGAGGAAGATGGACATGGATGTTAGCTCAGGGCCAGTCTTCCTCAGCAAAAAGAGGAGGATTGGTGACAGATGTTAGCTCAGGGCTAATCTTCCTCAAAAAAAAAAAAAAGAAGTGGGATAGGAGAGATTTTACTAGCCTGATAGGAGGCTGCCTTGGCCCTTTTGAAAGTTCACTCCTGACACATGTGGCTACTTGAGTTTTACCAAGACATTGGACAAAACTTTCCATTTGAACCGGCAAAACGATGAAATGTGGACTCAATACTCTTTAATGACTTTGCATTTTAATTTATCTGCCATTTTCCAAAGCTGCTGGGTCGATTTCCACCGTGAGTGATATCTACATTTTCTGATAGGGGACTCCGTCCAGCGCTGATCTGTTCAGCACTTTTATTGATGACTTGAATTAGGATAAGGAAAGGATGCTTGCAATATTCAAGAAGACACAAGAAAAAATATCATAAAGTTTAGATTATGAGCTAAATCTACTCAAATAAATTTTTGAGATAGTTTTAAGTAAAATATTACAGCTAGTAGGCAATCGGCTATTTCTCCATTTTTGTTGATTTCCAAAATTTTACGTAACATTTAAAGACCAATTCTTGTTGCTAACAATTGTTGAGCAACGAAATATGTTATTCAAGAGGTATGTTTTGAGTATTAGCAATAGCTGTGAAGTCAGACTGCTTAAGTATGGATTCTGGACCCCATTCTCACCAGCTGTGTCGCTTTATTTAGGTTACTTAAACTCTCTGTGCCTTGGATGATAATACTAGAATACTAGTACCTGTCTTATATGGTTCCAGGGAGAAATAAATAATATTACGAATGCAAATCATTTGAGTAATACCTGGCAAATGATATGCACTCAGTAAGTCCCAGAATATTATTGTCTTTCTAAACATCTTTGCAAATGAGATATATTTTTTCTATATTTAGGATTAAATTTTATCTTTAATAAAAGTGATGTGGTAAGAGAAAATCTCAGTTACCTGAAACTCCTCTTCAATTTTTATCTGAATGTTGGTTTATATATTCACATAGCACTAAAGAATCGGGAGGTTTCCTTAAATGAGACGGCCCACACTTCAGCACTGTGAAAAGAAATGAGCAATTCACGAGAAAATTAGATTAAATCCTTAAATTAAATTCTAGATTAAAAAAAGATCCTAGTAGAAAATGTACCAGCATGGCTTGCTATTAAGATCTAATATTTTCCCAGTGCATAGTAATGGGGGTTGGGGGACATCCCCTAGGCACTCTGATGAAAAGTTTCGGATAAACAGCTTAAACAGTGTGATTAAGGCCTTCTCAATAACATCAAAATCACCTCCAACTTAATGCTATCCATTCGAAGAAAGAAATTACTTCATTCCCAAGTTAATACAAGGTTCCTTTTTAATGTAATAATTGGCGGACAATATTATTTGGCTTGATATGCAGTAATACTGTTTTTAAAGAGACAACAGCCTAAAATGGAGTCACTTGTGCTAAGCCCACATCACCAGACCAAGGCTTACTACCTAAGCTAGTTGCAGTTTCAGCCTCTCCCAGGAATGGAAACCTTAACCCGTCAATGTGGAATTACCTGGTCAGCACTGGTGAGGGAGTCTGCCTGCGAGACCCCTGCCGTCCCCCAAAGGAAGGTGACCTTGTCTGAAACGATTCTCTCTTTTGCTAATAATTTTCTCGGTCCACCTCATTTTCGCCTTTCAAATTTTCCATTTTGCACAGCTCTTCAAGCTCGTCTCTCTCTGCTAGACGGGATGCTGCCCGATTCATGAATCACTGAATAAAGTCAATAAGACCTTTAAAGTTTACCCAGTGGAATTTTGGTATCGTTAAAAAATACGAAATGTACTTTGAGGGTCTTAAAGCAATGGGATCTTCAAGGCCACAGAGAATAAGAAGATATAATTGTTTTATTTTTCTTGGCTTTCCTCTATGCCTTGAAGGTCAGATCTTATTTACAAAGTGATTTTGTATTAGAAAGGTAATAAAAATTCATGATTTTACCAGGAAAAAACTGGGAATTAAACTTAATATAGTAAGAGAAAATAATGAAGCAGAATGAGATGTTTCACTTCCATTTCATCCTTTTTTATCCCTCATATAAGAGAGGAGAAAAATGGATATTTACACTGAATATCAGAGAGTTTGCCATCTTCTTACCCAAATACATCTTCAGCAGAACATTTTCAGGCTTCTTTTATAAACATCTCCCTATGAACATTTTCCTAAGGTTTATTTTTAACTGAATCTGTAATGTCTGTGAGAGGGAGACGCTTTGCCTCTGGGAAGCGGCCTCGCCCAGCACTCGGCAGACATGAAATAGCTCCTCTTTAAAACTCGGAACAACTTTACCAAAGGTATGTGGAGGACTTTAAATATCTGAGGAACACTGAAGACAAATATGTGAGATAGGTACAAAGTAGTGGCAATATTTTAGAAGCTTGAATTCATCTCTGATCCTAAAAAAAACCAAAATGAAATCGAAAAAAACTCCTTTAAACTAAAATGGGAATCATACATGCTGACCTATGAAAAAATATATATATATGCACACACCACCCTTCCTCAAGCCATCGCGGTGTTTCACTTCACCATCTAATACTTAACATTATGTGCTGTCTTTAACTACATACCACCATTCATTCTTCTATGTTACTGCAAACTGAGTTTTTCCCTGGCTGTGTATTATTCTCATTATTCTATCATAACTTCCTTCAGGGAAAAAAACCCCCTCCCCCTAATCAAGTTCTTTCTCCTTTTCTCCCTCCTTTGTTGCTCGCTTTCTCCTCTCAGCAGGAAAACATTCATTGCAGAGCACTGCTTCACTCTGGGGCCTCCCCCGCTTCCAGTCTTCCTAACCCTCTCTCGCCCCATCTCCCTTATTGCAACTGCCCTTACTCACACAGAGAATTCTTTACAATTCTTCGTAGCTTGCTGAAGCCACTTGTTAGTCCTGTTCTGGTACCAAGTAACCCAGAGAGAGTGTAGTGGACCAGCACTGGCAGAGAATTTGAAGTTTGGATCAATGGAGCTTATATCTTGAATAGGTTGAATATTCTCCAGAAAAAGATATGTTTTCAAAAGAAAGTAACTAGAATATTGGTGTCAAAAACACTGTCTTTTCTTAGCGAAGGGGACTTCTCAGAAGTAATGCATTCTATTAAGACGAAGTTCATTTTTACACACGCTGGGAACACACTGAAACTATAACTTAACGCTCAGGACCTCGCGCTGCTCTTGACCTCACTGCCATCCTCTTCCCTGTCTCCCACCTTCTATTCCAGGAGACTTGACTACCTAACTGTTTCTCTTTCTGCTCATCCCTAGCCCCAGGTTGTGTCCCCTCTGTGACCTCCTCGGCTGAGAAGTCTCCCTCTCCCTTCTACTGACTCTCTCTCACTGAGCCTTTAAGTCTCAGGTTATCTGTGGTCACTTCCGGGAAACTTCCAAGACCAGCCCCAGGTTGGTTCATGCTTCCTCTCAATTCTCCACTAATCCCCCATATGCATTTCTATGGTTGCACTTGCCCGACTTCATTAAAGCTCTCGGATTCCATATTGGTTTCCCCCAGTGAGCTCCTAAGGGCAGTTGTGGTCTCCTATTTATCTTTGTGTCCATTGGGCTGAGCATAATGTCAGATATATAATTAATGTTCAGTAAATATCTGAATCAGTAAATAGGTGGACGAATGAACAAATATTGAATTTAAGGATCCCGATGATACTATTCTAAAACTCCTCATCAATGAGACTAAGTTTAGTAAACGCAAAATACATCTTTTGGACCTCAAAAGTTGTCCACCATAATCTTTTTAATGTATAATTCTATGCTTTTAATATTATTACTAACTAATCAACTTTACACACTGATATTCTTACGGAGTTGTTTACTGCACACATCAAGTCATTTTGTTTACAGAGTCTCAAAGAAAGACACAGTGAGCAAGGTCACATATCCCTTCTCTGAGAAGATTTGATAAATCTTAGTGCTCTCAGAGCAGAGATAATATTATAAAATATTATTGGAGGTGGAATGATGGAACCAAATTAAGGGCAACATCAATTTCTACTCAGCTAGACACCAAATTTCAACAACATGTACTGTTATGTGAAATTAGGTGTCATAGGAAAAAGAATAGTGATTTTCAAAGCTTAGTTTTATTGACGAAAAAATGCAATGTTTTATTTTTAAAAATCCAGTATGGAAACTTAGGGAAAGTAATCCCATTTATCTCAACAGTTTTAGTAAATGGGCTTGTGTCTCAGGCTACTTTATAAAGATATGTAGCAATGTGGATTACATTCAAGAACTAGACAGAAAAGATGAGAGATGCACAAGCATTCTTCCTCATTATTGAGGCTCATTACCAGGTCAGGATGTTGATAACAGTAAAAATTCTCCTGGGACTCATTTTCAAGGAGCCTCAAATATTTTACCACCTGAAAATATAATGAATAATGCGAAAGAGATTGGGGGAAATAAATATTGGCTGTAGCCATAAGATTAAATTCCACCTTCAACTATCTTCTTTTTTTCTTAACTATGTCCTATGCAAGTTGTTTTCTCAGGCAGCAAAGAAGAAGACCAATTTGGTCAACATAGGCATCAGTATTGATATTTTTAAAGGAAAAATTGTTGGTGCCTTAGCTATCTAGGCAACTGCCTCCAATATCATTCTATTTCCATTTCCTGAGACCTTGGGACAAAGCTTGTCTATCTGAAGCTGAAGTTACAGATCATCTGTATCCTTGAACAGCAGGTCATTGAACAGGGATCAGGAGCCAGAGAGAACATTTCACTATCAAGAAGGAGGAAGAGATGATACAGTGCTATATCAGCATGACTCAGGAGTTTGGGTCATACCTAGTATGGAGGTTTTTATTTGTAATTGCTGGATTTACTTGTTTTCCCCAGCTCAGTCATTTAAAAGATGCCATCTTATCCTATTTTCCTAATCATTTAAGGAGTACTCTCTTATCATAAATCATGTTTACTTAGGACTTTTTAGGATTTCCCTTTTGAGCCAGATAAATACATTATTTTGTAGTGACGAACGTTAGATGGTGATTTTATAACCTATAAAAGGAGGCAGACCTTAGAGAAAAAGAATTGGAAAAGAGAGGATTGACTGAGTATAAAATTCACAGTGACTGCATACATAGCGATTTGAACATGTTCATTAAATATAATCATGGTATAATTTGTTTCTTAATGAAGTAATAGAAGAATGCACTGATAAAAGAATAATGGGTAAGATGAGAGAGGGAACATTATTTAGGTCTTATCTTCATAATCAAAGAGACAGAACTCCTCTACACATGAGAGAATTGCAACTCTGTAACAGAATCCAGTATAAAATTACCAAAATACGTTGACTCTTTTTTTTGGTCACTTTCAAAAAATGACTGATTTGTTTAATTTCAGCAAAGCAACCACTCTTAAAGATTGTATTCCTCTTTTGTAAATAGGTAGAGGAATAGAACATAACTCACCAAACCAATTGGAATGAATCACAAACTGCACAGATATTGTTAAAAATGAGAAAGTATTGCATCTAACTGAATAATAGAAAAGCTGAATCATCTACTGCAGTTATACTGGCAAGCTTTAGCACAGTTAGAAGGGTAGTGAATTTGCTTTTATCTGGTTAAACACAAAACAATAATCTAGAATTGTATATTAAAAAAGGATATTTTCTTTTTAATTGTATAGAAGTTCTTATGAAACAAGTCAAACTACTTTTTTAAAATTTTCATGATTGAAAAAGTTTTATTAATAAAACTTTTGATCATTCCAAAATCTTAGTATCCAGATACCATTCTGTTGTCAGTGATATGCATCCACACTGCTAAGTACATTTGTAAGAAAGTTATCATAGTAATGCACTACAAGAAATAACTTGCAACTAACTTTTTTTCACGTAATACTATATAATGACTTTATTTTAAAATCAATGAAAGCAGGTTTACCTGCTTTTTTCAAATTGCTAGAGTGAAAGCCATAGTAATTTATTTAACTACTATCCTCTTAATGGAACATTTAGCTGACTCCAATATGTCACTACCACTGACAATGTTATAATAGACATCTTTCTATGTGCTCACTCTGTATGTGCATTTTAAATTTTGAGAAATTGTCAAATCAACACATGTGAGATTGTCTTTTCTCCACATTTTGTCATCACTGAGAATCTTTAAATACTTTAACCTTTGCAAATTTGATAGGCAAAATCAATGTCATGGTTTTTACCTACAGTTATTATTAGGGACATCAAATGATCTTTTCAGATAATGTTGGGGATTCCTCTGCCACATTTTCTATTGTTCTGGTCGTCATTTTGCTTACATTGTCAGAGCTTTTTTAGGTACTTTAGATTTATGTATTATAAATCATTTGTGAAGGGCATGAAATCCTATGAGGAAAAGCATCGTTATGGACTGAATGTATGTCTCCCCCTAAATCATGTGTTGAAACCTTAACCCCTAGTGTGGCTGAATGTGGAGTAAGGAAATAATTAAGGCTAAATGAGGTCACAAGGGTGGGGCCCTGATCTGATAGGATTAATGTCCTTGTAAGAAGAGACACCAGAGAGCTCACTCAGTCAATCTCTGTGCACACACACCGAGGTGAGGTCATGTGAGGCCATGGCAAGAAGGCAGCTCTCTGCAAGCCAGAAAGAGTCCTCACTGAAAACCAAATTGACCAGAACCTTGATGTTAGACTTCTAGACTCCAGAACTGTGAGAAATAAATTTCTGGTCTATCATATTTTGACCAGGATTTGGTATTTTGATGATTTCAGACCACTGAGATATTTTCGGATCATAATTCAGTCCAGTTAAAATTAGTGAGCATATTAGCTTTCTCTGCTGCATAACCTACTACCACAAGCTTAGCAGTTTAAAATTGCACTCATTTATTATCTCTTGATTTCCATAGGTCAGAAGTCCAGTCACATCTTACCTGGGTTCTCTGCTTCAGGATCTCCCCAGGCTACAATGCAGCTGTTGGCTAGGGCTGTGGTCCCATCAGAGACTTGAACAGAGAAAGATCTACTTTCAAACAGTCTCAGGATGTTAGCATAATTCATCTCCTTGCAGTTATAAAACTGAGGTTTTTGAGTTTTTTCTGTCAACAAAGGGTCATTCTCAGCTTCCAGAGGCCACCCATGGTTCCTTGTTACATGGCCATCTCCATAGGCCCTATCACAATATGGCAGCTTAATTCTTCAAAACAATAATGGAGAGAGAGTTTCTCGTCTCAGGAGAGCTCAGTTCCTCCTTTAAGGCTTTTCATCTGATTAAGCCAGGCCCATCCAGGAACATCTCCCTTCTGATTAATTTGAAATCAACTGATTTGACACCTTAATTACATCTGCAATAATGTCTTGACCTTTTCCATATTCTATTGGCCAGAAGGAAGCCACAGGTCCCACCCACACTCAAGGGGAGGATTATACAGGATGTGAACACAAGCAGGTGCAGGAATCATGGGGGATGCCCTGGAGACTCTTTATCACAGTGAGTATTTTCTGTCTTTCTTTAATTCTAAAATCCATGTTTTTCTCCATTAACTTTTGACAATCTGTACTGTGGAATTTAGGGACAGCAGACATGGTAGTCAGCCAGGGGCTCTAGGGGAGGAGCAGGAAAGGTAAAGCAAGGGGAAAGGAGAGGTGATAGGAGAAGGAGGGCCATTTCCATGCAGTGGTCAGTAGAAGAGTCATGTTGGAGCAATGGCTTTACGTGAAACAAAAGAAGATGAGTTTTAGCTCTCTCTTGTCCCATATCCAGCCTATCTTACTATGTGAAAAAATTATACAGTTTTTCTCAATTCTATTTTTGCTCTGTGTCAATGAGGCACCTAGCCTTTCCAGCCAATGACAACACCATCATGCTGCCTCTTACTCATCCTTCGTGCCTCAGCTGAAATGAGAAATCACACTCTGACCTCAATATGTTTCTTATTCCCTTATAATTCGAAGAATGGACCTCATAACTATAAATCAGGGTTCAGCTGGGTCCCTTCTGTCCCTTGAGATTAGTGCAAGTCCCTGAAACTACATCTTGGGGTAGCAGAGACCCTTCTCCAATATCTGCACAGACATTAAGTGCTTCATTCTTGGGTCCTCTCTGCCTGAAGTCTCCATTGAGATTTTCTAGATTCTATCTCCTTTCACATCCCCCTCTGCAAGTCCCTCTTCACACGTCATTCTGTGGTTACTAAACCCAAAGAGAGAGGCAACGTTTTCAAGATGGAGATGAAGGGTGTGTTTACATGATAGGAATGTTCAGGATTTGATTTTAAACATGAGGAACTTCTTTTTTTAATTTTTTTATTTTTAAAGATTTTATTTTTCCTTTTTCTCCCCAAAGTCCCCCTGTACATAGTTGTGTATTTTTAGTTGTGGGTCCTTCCAGTTGTGGCATGTGGGACACCGCCTCAGCATGACCCGATGAGCGGTGCCATGTCCGCGCCCAGGATTCGAACCTGAAAAACCCTGGGCTGCCAAAGTGGAGCACACAGACTTAACCACTTGGCAACTGGGCCGACCCCTGAAGAACTTCTTAAAATGTTTGCTAGCTTCCCTTTATCACATCCCCCACCCCACCAGCCCTGACACAGCATAATCTCACTCGGTCCCTTTTCTCCACGTCTCTTCTCTCATTTATATTTTTCCCTCATTTCCAATCAGAAAAAACAAAAAGATAAAAGAATCAAAAAGTCATCTGCTTTTTTCACACTGAGTGGCTCTTGATGGTGTTTAGATGTAGTGGACACTCGTGCCCTGGTGATTTCACCTCCTAGTTCAAGTTGTCTATCAAGATATTTCCCTTAAAATATCTCCTTTCCTAAATGGAAACCTTATACCTGCTGTCAAGATAATAAAAATTACACATTGGTGGCATAATTATACTCTTCCTAGACTGGCGCTCCTGGAGGATGCTTATTCAATTTATCTTATTCATCTTAGGATTTCTAGCCCCTAGACTTGTGTCCAACAAGCCTTCTATATGTATGTGCTGTTGCACCAATCACAGGAAAGATATATTGAAACTTAGCAAGTTCACACAGTAAATACTACATGAGCGTAACTGGGTTCTTTGTTAATTTGCAGGAACTTATATTTCCTTCAGTGTTTGCAGGAATATGGAACTTCAAAAGAGTAAGATAAAATACAGCATCATTTTATATCACACCCTACACTCCCAGACCTACCGTCTCTGATACACCAGAGTGTATATGACATGCCACATCTCAGAACACACCATCTATACACCACATCTACACCTCCTACTGTATTACAGGTTACCCTGTAATACACCATGTCTCACAGCACACACCTGCACACACACCACCCCATCATCCTAACGAACCAACTGCACCAGAGAGCACAACACACACTGTACTACACTACACTCCACACCCCACATCCCACATCTACCATCCCCAGCACGCCACATTACACCAACCACACAATGCACCATGGCACTTCCAACACGTCACATCCCACACCCACCATCACAACACACCACACACCACACCAAGCCACCTCACACCAAACATACAAACATAAACTGTTTGAGTGTCGTGCCTTTGGTACTGGCTCAATCCTGAGTGAAAATAGGGCATGTTGAGATTCAAGAATATCTCATTCTTCTACTGTTTCATGGAGTTAGAATACTGACCTAGATAAAAATTATTATGGACTTCAGAGGAAGATATTTATTCCATACTTATAAAATACTTGAATACTTATAAGGAAAACTGTAGTTATGTAAGTAAATCAGAAAACGGGTACGAGAGAGGGAAAATGAAGTTGAACCCTAATAATTTGTGCGTGATCTGAGTAACTTAAAGATCATGTGTTGGCTTGTCCCTCAATTACTCTTTTCAGACCAGATAGCATTTATCACAATATATTGTGTAAATACGACTTTGCTTGTCTTGTGTTCCAACCTACTCAAAGAGGGCGAGAGTCAAATCTTTTGTTTCTGTTTGCTCAGAATTTTCCCGGCACCTGGCACACAGTAGGCATCCAAATAATTTTTATTGAATCATGGCTTTGAAGAGGGAGATTAACTTGTTATTAGAGAAGTTATAAAAACATAATTTCAAGATACGTCTACTCTAAATAAGTCTATAAAATTCAATAATATCGTTAGGGGGCTTTTCAAGCCCTTGCTTCCTCATTCATTCTCATCCTCTTTCAAATTTCATGCGAAATTTTAGGGCATTCAATTTCAAACAGAGTTGTGTAACAGATTACAAATTAAATAAAAGTAGATTTCCCTGTGATTTAAAAGTGGATAAGTTTCTAATCCATCATGCATATAGTTCACTTGGCCTGGCCTTCACAACGCAGAATTTCCAAAGGTGTTTAAAGTTTGGAAAAACCGTGAACAGTCTTTCTGTCATATGCTATCGTTTTCTTTAATTACAGTCCTATTTGATTTCTTAATGAAGTAAAAATAAAATCCAATATATAAATGTTATGACATTTGGGGATATCTAATTCATGTTCTTATCCTGTGATTGATTTTCCTTAATGAAGAATTAGAGTGGTTAAGGCCTTTAAAACCAAATATATTCTAAGCTCCTCAACATATCAGTTTCTAAATAATTGTATTTTATTTTTGTTCAAAGCCAGTCAAGTACAGCATTTGATAGCTCCTGTGAGGCCATCATTCTAAGCACAGGTGTCTTCGTGAAAATGCAATCGATGCAATTTATCATGCACTTGAATTTGAAAAAGACCAGTCCAAACTGCACATTAATTTTGAAGGCAACCACACTCATGCTTATTTATCATGAAAATATTTTTTCTGTCACTTCATTGCGTTCCTCTTTATCTTATGTGTTAGCTAGTGGAAAATGAGACAGTAAATATTACAAATAAAAATACCTTTAATAAATCATAAGATTTCAAAAGTACCTTGCCAAATATTAAATAATGATTGCGACTGTTTTAGTTTCAGCAATCATATATTAGAATATAGGTTTGAAATTTTATATTCTTAAGAACATTTTAACATAAAATCAGAGTTTTAGAGTATTTTAATACACAAACTGAGGGTGAGGTAGTTTTGTTTTTGTTTTGTAACTCTTGACAACTTTTCGAAATCTCCTCAGAATGGTGAGTGAAAACCGTATTCAGTATATGCTGTTCCCTCAATGCGTTCTGCCTTAATAGACGCATCAGTAGGAACAGCAGGCAGAATTCTACAATTATTGCCTATGATCCACACCTTTGGATAGCTCTCTCCTGCTGAGTGTGGAAGGTACTAGAGAAAATGCCAGAATATGATTCTTGTGATTAGGTTGTATTATACGGCCCAGTTGACTTTTAAAAAGGGAGATGATCCTCCCTGGGCCTGACCTATTCAGATGAGTCCTAAAAGTAGACAAGGCTCTTCCTGGAGAAAGAGATTCAAAATATGGGAAAGGATTCAACTTGAGAGAACGTCTCTGTTACTGGCTTTGACGATGGAAGGGGCCACATGACAAATTATCTCAAAATGCATCACAGCCTAAGTGAAAGAGCTAAAACTAAAAGCGTTTTTAAATAATACATAGGAGAAAATATCTATAATCTGGGTTACACAAAACTTTCTTACAGGGCTGGCTCCGTGGCCAAGTGGTTAAGTTTGCGCGCTCTGCTTTGGCGGCCCAGGGTTTCGCCAGTTTGCATCCTGGGCGTGGACATGGCACTGCTCATCAAACCACGCTGAGGCGGTGTCCCACATGCCACAACTAGAGGGACCCACAACTGAAAAATATACAACTATGTACTGGGGGGATTTGGGGAAGAAAAAGCAGAAAAAAAAATAAAAAGAAGAAGATTGGCAACAGTTGTTAGCTCAGGTGCCAATCTTTAAAAGAAAAACTTTCTTAGATGCAACACCAAACACCATCCATAAATGAAAAATGGATAAATTGTACTTCATCAAAATTTTTAAAATTTGTGTTTTAGAAGACACCATTAAGAAAATTAAAAAACAAGCATCAGACTAGTAGAAATTATCTACAAATCAAATATCTCATAAAAGACTTGTATCAAAAACTATAAAGAATTCTTAAAACTAAGAAATAAGAAAACCTAAGGAAAAATGAATAAAAGTATTGAACTGACATTTTACCAAAAAAGATAAATGAATGGTTAATAAGCATATAAAAGATAGTCAATATCATTAGTCCTTAGGGAAAGGTAAATCAATACCACAATGTGATATCACTTCACACCCAGTAGCACGGCTATAATTAAAATATATTTTTTAAAAAGCAGAGACTAGGGGCTGGCCCAGTGGTGTAGTGATTAAGTTCGTGTGCTCCACCTTGGGGCCAGGGGTTCACAGGTTCAGATCTCAGGCACAGGCCTACATACAGCTCATCAAACCATGCTGTAGCAGTGTCCCATATACAAAATAGAGGAAGACCGGCACAGATGTTAGCTCAACGACAATCTTCCTCAAGCAAAAAGACAGAGATTGGCAACAGATGTTAGCTCAGGGCCAATCCTCCTCACAAAAAAAGTTAAATAAATAAATAAAAAGCAGAGAATAACAAACTTTAGAAAGAACGTGGAAAAAATAGAATACTCACATATTTCTGGTGGGAATTAAAATAGTGTTGCACTTTGGAAAACAGTTTGATTGTTTCTTAAAAGTCTGAACACAAATTTCCCATATAACCCATCAATTATACTTCTAGGAATCTACTCAGATAAATGAAAATATGTGCCCACACAAAGGCTTGTAAATGAATGTTTCTAGGAGCATTTTTTTTTAATTTTTTTTTTGAGGAAGATTAGCCCTGAGCTAACTGCTGTCAATCCTCCTCTTTTTGCTGAGGAAAACTGGCCTGAGCTAACATCCGTACCCATCTTCCTCTGCTTTGTATGTGGGATGCCTACCACAGCATGGCTTGACAAGTGGTGCCATGTCTGCACCTGGGAACCGAACCGGTAAGCCCCAGGCTGCCGAAGCAGAACATGTGAACTTAACCGCTGCGCCACCAGGCCGGCCCCATCTAGGAGCATATTCATAATAATCAAAAAGTGAAAACAATCAAAATATCCATCTACTAATGAATGGATAAATAAAATGTAGTATATCTATGTCGTAGAATACTACTTAGCAATGAAAATGAAAGAATTACTTACTGTTACGTGCAAAACACAGATGAACCTCAAAAGTATTATGCTAAGTGAAAAAAAAGCCAGACACAAAAGACCATACATTATATGTTCCATTTATAGGAGATGTTTCCATTTACAGGAAATGTCTAGGAAAGGAAAATCTATAGAGACAGAAAGTAGTTCTTGTCTGCCTGGGGCTGGGAGTGGAAACTCAGATGGACTCTG